TTAAGGGACGACCTAGTGTCGTTTCCTGGTCTTGGCTAGCTTACTCAGGTTCCCCATGGCCCGGTAGATTGTTCTTCGGGCTAGGATAACCAATGGAGAAGGAAGCGTTTGGATCGGGAGGAGTCTCGAGCGATGTCGAAGCAATAATGAAAGAACTCGTTTCACGGAGGAGGACCAAGATGTTGTAGAGCAGGAGGAAGCACATGTTGGATGACTTCATGCTTCACTTTGAATCAATAAAGTTCACCCTTTATCAAAAAACAACATGTTGGATGGCCATCGTCGGGTTCACACGGCTAAACCCTATAGCCAACCCTGGTACTACAAGAACATGCGGGTGGCCTAGGATCTTGTGCAGGATGTGAAGCCTTGCCCGCTGTCCGACAATCTGTATACGACTCAGTTTTCGCGTTGGGTGATTGGGAGAGTCATTGAAGAGGACCCCTGGACTTTTTGGGGAACATTGTTATTCTTGCACCTTAAGATGGCTTCATTTTTGGGGAGAGTCAAAAAAAAAACGATGGCTTCACCAAACCCTAAAGGATGAAGTTAGATCTGTTAGAGATATGGATTCAAATACATGATCTTCCACATGGGTACACACCATTGCTGAAATCCTTGTAGGGAAAGCGGGGGAATTCGTTTCTGCAGAGCTGTTTCCCAAGATTTCGAGGGCAACTTATTCAAGGTTAGAGTCAAGATTGATGTCAGGAAACCCCTAAAGAAAGTTGCATCTCTTGTTCATAATCCAAGTGCACAAGGAGCATGGTGTTGGCATATAGTAATATAAGTTGATAATCCTTGTCTCTATGAGTTGATCATCGAGCTTGAGTGGTTATCGCGTGTAGCCTGTAGTGAGGAATGATGGTGATTTACACACATAGCACGTGAATTATCAGAGAAGATGCATAATTTTGAGAGTGCCGAGATAATTTTTGAGCGAGGGACCACGAATGGTGAAGCTCATTCCTTACCTAGCTGTATGAGTCAGCTGGTTGGCTTCTTTGGCTTAACCACCCACCTGAGATGGCTTAAATTCCTGTAGCCATAAGAAACATTTAAATGCATGGAACAGGATGAGTTGTCAAAAAAAAAAAACTGATAAGTATGATATGGTAACCCAAAGGTCGAGTTCTTCCTGTAAGTTAGCTTCTGTTCTGGTCGAGTATTTACAGCTTTCCTACCATACTTGAAAACATTACAGTGTGCTCTCAACATTTCGTTCTCCAAGCAAGCTTCTGGGGTCTGGGGGTGCCAAGAACTAGGGCTGACTACATTCTGGCAACATGGATTGACGGATGTTACCCCACATCAAGTTGAGAATGCAGTTAGAAATAGATTTTGCGCATACTGGCTACAAACACCTGGATACTCAAAAGAATGCTTTAGAAATTCTCAGACTGGTTAAGATAGAGTATCATGCCCATTTACCCACGTACTGTATGTATCATGTGGCTCCAAGCCAAAATTTACTGCCAACCATAACAATGGTGGCTTCTATTCTCTCACTCTCCCCTTTTTATCTTTGCTTCCTTATTTGCTTATTATTCCAAAGTAGGTAAGTGGATAAAGATTCTGTTATGACCGGCATATACTACAGCCCAGGCAGTTAGGGCCTGGCCCAGTTAGCTTATCGTTATTAGGGGCTTAGCCCAGTTATCGTATTTGGAGATTATATAAACTCATGTAAGGACTCGTTTGAAGTGAAGCAGAAGCAATCATATTTGCTCGGCTTCCTGAAGTGAGCCGGGAGACCTAACCCTAGCCGCCGCGTCCTGCTCCCTCCCTCTGTCTCGCACACGTGACGACGGCGCCCCAACGCCGGCGACCTCGCCTTCCTCCTCGCCAAGCCCCCTTCCACCCCTACAACCTACGAGCTAGACCTGGTAGGATCCCACAGGATCCCACAGATCCTATCAATCTGGTATCAGGTGTTTCAGGCTCGATCATGGCCGTGCCACCGCCCACCCTCTCCCTCCCGCCGCCGATCGCCTCTTTGTCGCCGATGACCACCGCGGCCAGCACGCCGTCCCTGACCGGGCCGGTCTCCTCCGCCGCCTCGACGCCACCCGCGCCTGCCCCCGCCCCCGCCGTGCTCACCCCGGAGGAGACAACGGCGGCGCTCCGGGACCTGACTCAGGCGGTCCAGGGCATCCGCACCTTCCTCGCGGGGCACTATGGGCTGCAGCCGCCCGCCCCCGTCACCACCATCACGGGGCCGCAACAGCTCCCGTGGCAGCCGCCACCACCGGCGACCTCCGTCGCATCCATCATGCCGTTGCCGCAGCAGCAGCAGCCGTCGCCGCCACCGGCGATCTTGGGACCGGGCCTTCCGTCGACGGCGCCCGGGGTGCCCATCCACCAGGTCCGTTTCCCCCCGTCGCCATCTCCGCTACCGGCCTTGCTCGCCGGGTCCATCGAGCCGGTCTACACGATGGCCTCAGGACAGCCGCACGTGCTATCACCGTCGGCACCGCTCCTGACCATGCAGTTCGGCGGGTCCTCGGGTGCCGTGGGTCCCTAAGATGGTGTGGACGGCCCCTTTTCCATGGCGGTACTCTGCAGCCTACACACTCGGCGCCGTCGCCCTCGCTGTTCCGCGCGGATGACACAAACCCGCCCGTCGTCCACGCCTAGCCACCGCCGAGATTCTCCAAGCTGGAGTTCGCGACCTACGACGGCACCGTCGACCCCCTGAATTGGCTCAACCAATGTGACCAATTTTTCAGGGGGCAGCGCACTCTCGTGTCCGACCGCACCTGGATCGCCTCCTATCATCTACGAGGCGCCGCCTAGACGTGGTATTACGCCCTCGGGCAGGAAGAGGGCGGCATGCCACCATGGGAGCGTTTCCGCAATCTGTGCCTCTTGCGCTTCGGTCCGCCTATACGCGGGAGCCATCTGGCGGAGCTTGGGCGCCTTCGTTCCTCACCATAGTGCAAGACTTCGCCGACCGCTTCCAGGCACTGGCGTGCCACGCCCCCGGCGTTTCGGCTTGTCAGCGGGCTGAGCTCTTTGCGGGCAGCCTACCGGACCACATCCGCATCGACGTGGAGATGCGCGAGCCACAGGACCTCCAGACGGCCATGTACTACGCCCGCGCTTTCGAGCGCCGCGCAGTGGCCATCCAGCAGGCGTCACCGCCCCGGGCCGCTGGGCCGCCACCCTGGCCGGAAGTTCCCGCGCAGGGTCGGCCTGCTCAGGCTTCCGCGGCGCCCCTCGCCGCGACCGCGGCGTGCCCGTTCCGCCGGCTCACCCTGGCCGAGCAACTCGAGCGTCGCCGCCAAGGGTTGTGCTTCAACTGCGACGAGCCCTACGTGCCCGACCACGTCTGCCCGCGACTCTTCTACCTGGAGGTTGCGGACTACATTGAAGAGGACACCACCGCCGCTGGGCTCGGCGACCTGCCCGCCGCAGCTGACGCGGAGGTGTTTGGCGCCCGTTGATCACCTCGAGGAGTTCCGCAAGCGCTTCCCCGCCTTCCAGCTCGAGGACGAGCTGTTTGTGCAGGCGGGGAGAGATGTTATGACCGGCATATACTACAACCCAGGCAGTTAGGGGCCTGGCCCAGTTATCTTATCGTTATTAGGGGCTTAGCCCAGTTATCGTATTTGTAGATTATATAAACTCATGTAAGGACTCATTTGAAGTTAAGCAGAAGCAATCATATTTGCTCGGTTTCCTAAAGGGAGCAGGGAGACCTAACCCTAGCCGCCGCGTCCTGCTCCCTCCCTCTCTCTCGCACACGTGACGACGGCGCCCCAGCGCCGGCGACCTCGCCAAGCCCCCTTCCACCCCTACAACCTACCAGCTAGACCTGGTAGGATACCACAGATCCTATCAGATTCACTCTGGCATGCCAATTGATATTTGTAGCAGGCATCCTCGCACTATCTGGTTAATCGCATGTCTTCAGGTTTCATTCGGAGTATTTATCATAAGAGTGTCCCAGTTTATACCTAAAACTCTATAGCAAAAAGAAAATGCTGAGAAAATACAAAAGTATCTTACAGCAACCAAATGGAAATTTCAGAATTTATACCAGGATTGTATGCTGAGTACTAGTTATTTAGTTCGCCAAATCTATACTTAGAAGAAAAGAAGGCATGTTATACTAAGGAATAATACAAACATAAGGTGCTTTTTAGCCCCATATTCCAGTTCCAGATGGGCTTCGCTACAAGAATACAGGGTTGTATTTTTCTAGTTCCTGAAACCATTCTATCATGAGATGGGGAAACAAGAAACAAACAGAGTACGTCGGATGATTTAAGGGCGGTAGAGAAAGGGGTTTATCGTCAGTACCTTCTCAAACCAAGTAGTACAAATTATTTCTGAAAAGACTGCAGACCTACGAGATGAGTGCTGCAACTCTCCTGAGTCCTGACATGATACATGCTATTATAGAAACCACGGTTAGTAAATCAAAAGCACATATCATTCACCTAGCAATAAAAACAGGTCAACTTGGGTGTGGCGCCAAATAAAATGACCATTTGTTATTTCAGCAGTTACTATTAACATGAAAATGAGCCTGATATAATCTCAACTTCACCTGACAAGCTAGAAGGATATTCACTCCACACAAACTTCTCTCTGAATCAGCTTACAGACACATCCCAAAACAAATGACTATGACTGCTAGGATCGAAATGTATACAAAAATAGTGGAATATCACTTGAGAGTTGATATAATGAAGCTTCTCTGTCCTTACAGCAATACAATTATCAAGAGATATACTACCTCCATCCCATATTAATTGACACTCAAACGGATGTATCTAGCACTGAAAGTCTGAAATACGTCGAGATACATCCGTTTGAGCGTCAATTAATATGGGACGGACGGAGTACATACTAATCTTGTAGGTCAACAGAAATGAAGCAATTCTGGCAGTAGTTAATTTGCTTGGTTGCATTATGGATTCCAGACATGAAGAGGAACGGATTTTTCATTCAAGTCAGATGAACTCAACACCATAATCAATTCATGAGGTCAGTTACACCATGGCAAGCTCAGTCGAAACCAAACTTGGGTTCTCCTGTTGTAGAGCGTACATCTTGTCGGTCATTCCTTCCTTCCGATAAGCTTCCAACAAGATGGAGTATGTGATGGCATCTGGTTCACACTGCATATGCTTCATGTGCCTGAAGACCCTCTCCATTTCCATCAGATCCTCCGCTTTCGCACATGCCGCAAGAACAGAGTTGTGAAAAGATGTATTTGCCGGTACATCGAGCCTCTCAGCAAGCTTTACCATGCCTACCACCTTGTGGAAAAGGGCTGCGTTGCTAAACCCATTTATGAGACAGCAGAAGGTCTTTGTATCCGGCTTCATCCCCTCTGAGCGCATCTGGTTAAATGTGTCCTCCATGTTTTTTGCATCACCTGCCTCAGCAAATGCCTCGATCACGTTGTTGTACGTAGCTGTCGTCCATGGAAACGCTAGCCTGCGCATGTATTCCATCACCGCAGACATCTTGTCATACATCCGCTTCTTCCCGTAAGCACCAATGAGAATGTTGAACGTCCGAGTCTCCGGCTCGATCCCATAACCTCGGAATTTCTCGTACCACTTCTCCATCAGCTCAACCTGGCCACTGTTCCCAAACAGGCTTAGGATAATGTTCATGGTCCAGACATCCGGTTTACTATTTGCACTTTCAAGCATCGCCGAGAGTAGCTTCTCCATATCGTCCAGCCTTCCTGCCCTGCAGTAGCCACTGAGAACAATGTTCTGCGTGACCGTGTTTGGTGCCACGGAGCGCTCGGCCATCTCTTTGTACATAGCATCGACGAGGTCGAACCTTGAGGCGTCGACGAAGGCCTTGATGAGGATGCTATAGGTGTAGACATCAGGCTGGCACAGCGGGGCGGCTTTCATGTATTCGAGAAGCTTGAGTGCCTCGTCTAGGACGCCATTCCGGCAGTAGGCCCCGATCAAGGCCGTGTAAAGCTCAGGAGTTGGCCGGCATCCTTGCTGTTGCATCTCGGTGAAAAGGTGCTGTGCTAGAGAAGGCTGGCCTGATCTCCCCAGCAACAGGAGGAGTTTCATGTAGGTGCCCTCTTTGGGATAGTAGAAGGGTTGCTCCTTCAGCATCTCAAAGACCTACACATATCCATTCATTTTTTTGGAAATCAAATCAATTAATTCCTAAAATGGTGCGATGCAAAGTAAAAGGAAAATTTCAAATTTGTAAGGAAAATTTGATTGGTATAGCTGGTTGGTGACTGTATTACCTGAAGCGCCTCTCGCCAGTTCTTGGCGGCGATGCGGTCGGCGAGGGCTTCGGTGACGGTGCAGGCCCAGGCCTTGGCATCGGCGCGCGCGTCGAGCCTCTTCTGGACGTTCTTGATAGGGGTGCGAGCGCGGCCCCTCCTCCCGGACTGGGATTGGGACTCGGCCGCCGCCGGGAACTCCCCCGCCCTCCAGTGCCTCTGCCGCCCTCTCCCCTCCGGGTCTTCCCCCGCCTTCCAGTGCCTCTGGCGCCCTCTCCCTTCCGGGTCTTCCCCCTTGGACGGTGGAGGTGGGGGCGGGCGCTCCGTGGTCCGGGGTCTCCGGCGCTGCTGCGTGCCGGAGGAGGGGGAGGTGGTGGGAAATGGGAACTCGCCGGCCTTCCAGTGGCGGCGGCGAGTATTAGTGTCGGAGGTGTCAGCGGCGGCGGTGACCAGGCGGGGCCGGAAGGTGGCGTTGGTGGCGCCGGCTAGCGCCATGGAGGTGGAGTTGGCAGGCAATGCGGAGGCGAACACGATGAGAAGAAGGTAAGATAGAGCTAGTGAAGATAATTCCAAAAGAGACTAGTGACAAAAAAAGAAATTCGAATTCCTCATTTATTCTGAATCCAAGCAGTCTAGTGGCAAATGGATCCTTTCTAGTATTTGTACTCCCTCCGTTCCAAATTACTTGTCGCACGTATGAATATATATAGATGTATTTTACTTCTAGATACATCCATTTTAGCGACGAGTAATTTGAAACGGAGGGAGTAGATAAAAACACGTTTCTTTGAAAATAAACATTTTATTTCTAAATCCTGAAAGACTTGTGACAGATAAACACCTGTCTTTGCAGGTACTGTACTACATTCACCCGGGTTTATTAGTCCCCTCGTATTTTGGGTCAAATTTTTAGATTTAACTAGCAAAATACTCCTAATTTATATGCAACGAAAATGATATCATTTGGATACTTCTTTCAAATAGGAATCTACCAATGTAATTTTGTAGCATATAACTTACATTTTGCTAATCAAATCTAAGGTTAAAGTTTAACACAAAATACGAAAGGGACTAATAAACCAAAACGGAGGTACTAGTAATCATTTCATCTCTGAAACAACCACGGAATCATTTTAACTTCAGAAGGATAGCCATCCTTATTGGTCACAAACAATGATCAAAGTCAAATGACAAGAATTCTTCCTTTACTTGATACATCACTCTCTATTCTAAGGATAAACTTTTTCAGATTCAGACATCAGAAACACACACTGACAACCACCCACGAGACATTTTTTTTTCTCTTTCTTTGCTTTATACTCTTGGTGTGTACAATATGATAGTAGAGATAAGAGAAGTCTGTAGCTCATACCAGCAACCACACCAGCTGAGAGCCTTCCAGACCGTTTTACAAGCTACTAGTACTGTACATCCTTGAGCCGTCATACACACCACTGTACATTCCATTCCATGTATCAACAAATGCAAAAATCCCCGCTCCGAGGGGTGAAAAATAAAAATCGATCAATCTGTTACGTATTCAGAAGAATTCTCCACCATGTTGTTCCGCACGCAGGTATCTCTCTATCTTTACATCTCCAGAAGATGGCTTTACTTCTCTTCTTTACCTCATTTGGACGAAAATGGACGAGTCTTTGACCGAGGGGGCCTCTCCTCATGCTCAGGGGCATCACTCTTCTCGATGCTGTTCTTGCCCCTCAATGGCACGGTTTCAGTATTCTCAGATATCCGGTTCTGTCGTGGTCTTCTTTCCTGCAAATCCAGTCACTTGCATGTTCAACTTTTGTGATGATGCATATGTAGGCAATAAGCATCAAAGTCAAGCTAAACAATCCTCTCTAAGCCAAATGGAGTCGACAGAACAGGCATATAGGATAACCAAATAAGATGGCAAGTATACTCTACTGTGCAGTGACCAATTGATCATACAATGGATGAAAGTAGCAGGAAAATGAATGATTTCCAGGTAAACCAATAATCATATGTGAATGGTATTCTTTTGTGAATCAAACCTCTTGAGGTATGGTTTCGCTGGAATCCAACATCCGGACGACCTGATCCATCCTTGGTCTCTTCTCCGCATTCAGGTCGATACACCGCAGAGCTGTCAAAAGGGCACGTTTGAGCTCCTTTGTCGACGGTCTTCTCTCAAGGTGTGGATCCACCACTTCGTCAGAACGTCTGTTGGCGACCATCAATTTAAGCCAATCGACTAGGTTTACCTACACGTGAATAGCAATAGCAGTGTGTAAGAGAAGAGATGAAGACAACAATTAGGGATCTCAAACATAACAGAAGAAGATTTTGCAAGTATTACCTCACTTGGGGGGCGATCATAGTCAATTGGATCTCTACCTGTAATAACTTCCAATAAAAGAACCCCAAAGCTGTAGACATCACTCTTCTCATTCAAAAGCCCACTGTTAGCATACTCGGGCGCAACATAGCTGCACAATAAGAATAGAATTGTTAGAGTACGTAATGGGCCTAATGGGCCCATTAGTCTTAGGGTTAATTAGAGATAAGGGTCGCTTGCTTAGGGGTCAAGTAAGTCTTGCTTGGGAGTCAAGTAAACCTCTCTATATAAAGAGAGGAGATGTGTCAATCTAATCAAGCAAGAATTAAGAAGGAAATCCCTTCCCTCTTGCCCGGCCGTGGGCAAAAAGGCCCCCGGCCGGCCCTCTCGCGCCCTCCTTCTAGGAGCGCCATAACAATTTGGTATCAGCTAGCTTCGGTTCGATCATGTCTTCACCGCCGCCAAGCCTGTCTCTTCCGCTGTCTGTCACCTTGTCGCCTCCGGCGACCACCACGACCGTCGCCCCGCTCCTGCCCGCGCCGGGATCCTCTGTCGCGCCCGCCCCCGCCGTCCTCACCAGGGAGGTGTCCGTGGTGCTGCGGGACCTAAACCAGACGGTCCAGGAGATCCACCTGTTCTTGGCCGGGTCCTACGGGCCGCACCCGGTGCGCCGCCCATCGCCACCCCCGCGCCGCCGTGGCAGCCGCCGCACCAAGCTGCCTTCGCCGCGCTCGCCAGGCCGCTGCAGCTGCCATCCATCGCCACCACCGCCCAGCCCTGGCTGCAGTGGCAGCCGCCGCTCCTGGCGGCCTCCGCCGCGCCCGGCGCTCCGACGCAGCAGCCGTTGCCGCTGCCCGGCGTGACAGCGCAGCAGCCGCTGCAGCCACCGCCGGTCAGCTCCGCCGCCCAGTATGGATGCCCTACGACGGGAGTGCGACGACCTCGTTCCCATCAGCGCCGCCGCCATCCCAGGGCGTCCACATCCAGCAGATCAAGTCCCTGTCGTCGCCGTCACCGCTTCCGTCTTGGATCCCTACCCGCCACGTGTCGGCGGCGGTGAGGCTGCAGGCTGCTGCGCGCGGCCTCCTAGCGCGTCGGCGTGTGCGGGAGATGCGTGGTCTGCAGCTGCCGCTCCTCCAAGTTGCCCTTCGCTGCGCAAAGGACCTCGATCTCGTCCGCTGCGTCGGGGATCTTGGGCATGCGGTTTCCCCCACGGGCGGCTGGCACATTGTTTTCCCCGCGGGCAGCGACCTCAAAGTCTGCAACATCGGCGGTTGGGGGGGCACACCCCTCCTCGTCATTCTCAATCGCAAGCCCTCCACTCTTTCCTATGCGGTGCAGACCAACAGCCGTCCGGCGGGGAGAAGGCAGGGTGTCACCGACAGGAGCGCACTGCGTAGCACCACTGCTTTTCGCCGCCGACCACCGCGAGGGCGCCTCTGCTGGTCACTCTTGCGACCACTTCCAGGTGGCCATACACATGCACTCCTTTGGTCCAAGTGGTGTCCATGGGATCCAGGTGGCTGTACACATGCACGTCCGACGTGCGGATGGTGTCCACTTTTTGTTAAAGGGTCCAAAATAAGTCCATTTTAGGTTGAGAATAATAAAACAAGCCGAGATGTAAAAGGCTTGTTTTTAGGTGTTAGGTTTGTGTTGCGTCGAGTCATGGTTATAAGTTGGTTAGGCTGCAGCTCGAGGACAAGTTGCATGTCCAGGTGGGGTGTAGTGTTAGAGTACGTAATGGGCCTAATGGGCCCATTAGTCTTAGGGTTAATTAGAGATAAGGGTCGCTTGCTTAGGGGTCAAGTAAGTCTTGCTTGGGAGTCAAGTAAACCTCTCTATATAAAGAGAGGAGATGTATCAATCTAATCAAGCAAGAATTAAGAAGGAAATCCCTTCCCTCTTGTCCGGCCGTGGGCAAAAAGGCCCCCGGCCGGCCCTCTCGCGCCCTCCTTCTAGCAGCGCCATAACAAGAATAGTTATTGAGTGAAACTAATTGTTAGCATCCACAACTTATCTCTCGAATTATGATGGACAAATTTTGGAGGAAATGAAAAGAGAAACTGACTCATATATTCCATGGCATGAAAAACTTACCCAAAGGTACCCATAACTCGAGTAGCAATATGACTTTTACCAGCACCAAGCATCTTGGCCAAACCAAAGTCAGATATTTTGGCATTAAACTCATCGTCGATCAAGATATTGCTGGCCTTGATGTCACGATGCACAACCTTTGGTTCAAGTGCCTCATGTAAATATGCAAGGCTGCAGGCAAATGTGGAGTCTGTATCAAATTGATGTTTCGAAGAGCGCCAAGGCTATAGGTAAAATTAAGAACTATATCTAATGACCGAACAGAACAGCACCATGTTATTCAAAAAAAAAGAAGAGCGCCAGTTACTTGCAACGACAAAAAGAAGCACTAGTTATAGCCATTGTGATACAGTACCGACAAGGACTGGCTAAAAATTTGTGTAATCTCAACCTTTACTGTAATCATATTTCAGGTCTGATCCAAATCCAAACTTGTTTCTGTTCACAACAGTATATACAATAATTTCTAGTGGCTAACAACTTGGTACGATAGTTAAACCCAGATGCCGTTACGACTGAAACATGTGCCAATGTGCATCAATCAGAATGATCATTTGTTAGCTCTTGCACACTATCGCGTGATGAACATAATTTTGGAAGTACAGAGATCCTAAGAAGAAGGGGAGCCTTGGCGCAGTGGTAAAGCTGCTGCCTTGTGACCATGAGGTCACGGGTTCAAGTCCTGGAAACAGCCTCTTGCAGAAATGTAGGGAAAGGCTGCGTACAATAGACCCAAAGAGGTCGGACCCTTCCCCAGACCCTGCGCAAGCGGGAGCTACATGCACTGGGGCTGCCCTCCACAGAGATCCTAAGAAAAGAATGAGTTTAATGAAGGAGCTACTCACGCCTTTGCAGTCCCCAGAAGAACTTTCATGCGAGCTAACCAAGTGAGAGAGCTGTACTGGGACAATTCTCCGTGGAGCCAGCTTTCAAGATTCCCGTTGTTAACAAACTCGTATACAAGCATCCTGGTTATGCAAACACATCAAGCAATTCATGTTATGACTTTCTTGTTTATTTGATGCTAAAACAATAGAAACATAACAGACCATGCTTTAGAGAAAAAATGGAAGAAGAA